TTGTTGTTGTTGTTGTTGTTGTTGTTGTTGTTGTTGTTGTTGTTGTTGTTGTTGTTGTTGTTGTTGTTGTTGTTGTAGCTGTTGTAGCTGTTGTTGTTGTTGTTGCTGTAGCTGTTGCTGTTGCTGTTGCTGTTGCTGTTGCTGTTGTTGTTGTTGTTGTTGTTGTTGTTGTTGTTGTTGTTGATTCTGTTGCTGTTGCGGCTGATGTTGTTGATTCTGTTGCTGTTGCGGCTGTTGCTGTTGTTGTTGATTCTGTTGCTGTTGCGGCTGTTGCTGTTGCGGCTGCTGCTGCTGTATTCCCCTCTGTGAATAACCTCCCTGCTGCCCATGTGGGAGCACAGGTACTGTCCCATATTGCACCAAATTTCCCTCCCCTTGCGTACCCGTTGATTGTATGGGTCCATTGAACACCTCCCCAGGCCATAGACTTCGTGGAGTCATCCTCCCATATGGTCCAGCCACAGGATTCCATTCTGGAGGCACGTTCACGTAAGTATTCGGAAGAGAGTGCGCTATTGGAACGTCCGGGGAGATCACGGGAGATTGCATTGAAACTAGCGAAAGATCATATGGATTTTGATAGAATGGAGCATTAAAAGGAGGTGCGTATATCTGAGGTACTGTACCCGAAAATATTCGAGGAGGATTTTTCTGATAATTAGTATTCTGAGAAGAAGACTGGCTAGAAGGTGACGGGAGCGGGAAAGAAGCAGACCGTGATATAGTAGGTGATTGTTGTGACTGTGACTGTGATTGCGAACGAAAATTTGATTTTTGAGTTTTTTGAATCTTTTGATTCTGATAATTTTTATTCTGGGATTGTTTGTTTTTGTTATTACTATTATTCGGACGATTAGCATTCTGCTGGGCTTTGTTTTTGTTTCCGGCCGAGGTATGGTCATTGTTTATGCTTTGATCGACCATGTTAGTGACCGTATTTCCGCTAAAACCAATCCATGAAGGACTTCCGCAGAGTGTCATTTCCTCAATCATCGTATTTGGACTTCCCGATTTTGTCTCTTCTATTCCTCCTTCTGACATATGGTTGTCTTCCTCTCTTTCTTTGCTCTTGTCCTGCTCCCTTTTTATTTCTTTCTCAATGTCCTCTTGCTCCAGTTCTCGTTCTTGCTCTTTCTCCTTCTCATCCTCATCCTTGCCTTCCAAGTCCTTGAATATTCTAGCTCTCGCTCTTTGATAAGCAGCTTCTCGTTCTTCGATAGTCAAAATTCGTCGTTCAGTTTCTGAACTACTATCAGAGTTATCTCCCGGAGAGCGAAGAGCCGGTGGGGCAGTCTGTTGTCGACGCATTATTTTCACAGATACTTCGGGTTTCTCTTCTTCTTGTTCTAATAAATCCGAGAATCGAAGGACTGGGCTTTTAAGAAAACGGGCAATTTAGGGTGATTATAGATATACAAAGAAAAGATTACGACGTGTATAATAACAAAATGTTTTTAAAAAAATCCTTAGTCCCTCCACCCGAAAATCCCAAACCATCAAATTCCGCTCAACCTAACCCTCACATAATATTCACATTTGCGTCTCGGCCGATTTATATAAAACGACAGCCTTTCCACTGGGATCGACGACATGCGACAGTTTAAAATATGCAGCAACGCGATGGATGATCAATCTCTGATAGGAGTTCATCGGTGGAAATTCCAGGCGTGTGCGGCTGAATAAAAGAAAATAGCAAGGTGAATGAATGGGATGAATCATGGAATAAGTAACAAGGATAAGCATGGAAAGGTTGAAGAAAGAAAAAGATTCCTCGTAAGTTTCTTGGAGTTTGTCGGTTAATTGAGTCTTACATAGATCGTATTTCTCAGCACTATCTCTCATCGAGATAATTTCTATATCGACCTCTGCTTCAACCTACACATTCCATTTCCTAAATCTACCGGACGCCCAACGTACAAAGGCGCGGAATCACTTGACACGATGAAGAAATTAAACAGGACAAAGAAAGGGGGCGATCCTATCTCTTTTTGCATTAACAATTACCTCTTATCCTTAACGAATCTCTCCATATCCCGATCTAGTTTCAATAAAAACAGTCTGTCTTTTGGATTCTTCAACGCCGCAAGTAAGAAACCATCTAACCCGGTGTTAACATCAATCTCTCCTATTTGCGGCTGTGTGCTCTGTAGATTTACTTGTCCTAACAGCGTTTCATCAGAAGCATCCGCAACTTGTGTTTTGTGAATAAGGGAGGACATTTGTGAGAGTATGTGGTAAGCATAGAGGGTAATATATAACTCTCACCTATCAGTGTGTCCGAAACCGGTGATCACCGGGATCATCGGATCCGGCTTCCTGTTTAATTAAAAGTGATGGAGATCGAACAATTATTATTATACAGTCCAAGAGAGACCGTCATTGTTACGCAAATTTTCATCATCGTTGTACAATATCTCAATTTGGAAAACGATAATGCC